GAGAGAGAGAGAGGGGGAATCGTGTAACATTTTGCGTTCAAGATCGAGAGACGTAGATCCGCGCTCGTCACGTTTGCGCGCTCTCGCACGTTCGGTTCCTCGAAGTCGTACTAAAATTAAACCCGGGGCCCCGGCGCGAGATTCGCTGATTCTTTTCTCACGTCCGGCTTTTCTCGCGCGGACTGCGTCGCGATGACAGGCGCATCTTGAGGGGCGTCCCTCGAGCGCGGGTCCCTCCAACCCGATTTTTCGCTAGGGCAACCACCAGCCGTGTATCGCTCGTGTCCCGCCACGTCTCGTAACGACGTCGACGAAAGACGCGCGATCGTTACGGCGGATCAACGTTCGATTCTACGGTACTATTGTAGAGACCCGGTGGAGGCGGGCGTGAGAAAGCGACGACGAGGGCCGCGAAGAAGATTACGGCGTCGGAAAAGGAGGTGGCGGAGAATGGAGCGACATCCAGAGCGAGACGCGTGCGGACGTTGCTGACGAGCGAGCACGAGTACGAGCACGACGACGATAACGATCACGACGAAGCCGAAGACGAGGGAAACGAGGGAGTCGAAGAGTAGCCTAGGAAAGAGGAGAAGGCGGAAGAAGGGCAACGAGGGGAGTGTGAAAACGAACGACAGTGCCTGCGGTAACGCCATAACCACGAGAGATGCAGCAACAACCGCACTCTGGCCAGCAACCGTCCGGGGCGCCGAACGGGGTGGCGGGGGCGCCCAATTGCCACAAACAGGTGGCATAAGTCCGGCGCAACCTGGCGCGACCGGTACCACCGCCAATCGCGCCCAGATTAACGGGGGTAGATTCGACTTCGACGATGGTGGGACCTACTGCGGCGGCTGGGAAGATGGGAAGGCCCATGGCCACGGCGTGTGCACCGGGCCCAAGGGTCAGGGCGCCTATTCTGGCAGTTGGCACTTCGGCTTCGAGGTGTCCGGCGTCTACACCTGGCCTAGGTGAGCGATTATCATTGGTACCGATTACTCGGCGGTTAATTTGCACGCGACACCCTTGGCTCGTTTCGAAAGACGGCAACTGTGCCTTATTATTACTTCGTATATCCACGATGTAATTGTTATCCCAACAATGTAGCTCACGAGGCGCACAAAATTACGATGGATTATGATGAATTACTAATTCCCGTGATATACGTAATCCACGACGATGCTCGTCTGGTTGTGCGCGTTTCGCACGAAACGAATTAATCTTGTATTCTCTTCGCGTTGGCGCACTCCCGGGATTTGCACAACGACCGCCGCTCCTCCGGTCGCGGATGAAGGATTAATGCTGAGCTCGTTTGCGCTGTGACGAGTGTACGGTTTTCAGGCTGATTATCTGGTATTACGTTACCGCTACCGCGCCTGTTTCACGCTAACAACGTCGCTCGCGTAGCGAAGCAAACGTATACCGAACATTATACGCCGCGAAAGTAACATAAGCCCGATCCGATACTATTTCGAGAAGCTCGTGTCCGGTAGTTGTAGAAAATCCCCCCGGGGGTGAGGTCCCTATCGGGCGTTTCATCGGCGATTTTCACAAATTCATGAGACTTCTGGTGTCGCGCGTGTGCCGCGTGATGAGCAAACAGCGGACCTTGACACGTATCTCGGTATATACCTGGGAGGGAATTTCCCGATCCCTGCAAAACTGGGTCACCGTGCGCAAGGACAACCGGAGCAGGTCACCGGGATTCGAGTCGTCAGGACCTAGTTCAGGGTCGTCGCGGAACAATCGCCGTTGAAATTTTCGATGAGGTTCGTGGACGATCGACACTCGTGTCCGTACTGTGTCAAAAGTGAAAGTCAATATATATATATATATATATAGAAATCCTCTCGATACAGCTTGTAATATTTCGGTAAAAAGATTGCGAGGTATAGATTGCGAGTGTACAGATTCTTTGAATCTAAGATTCAAGTGCAGCGTCAAAAATCGTTAAGTCGCGTTTCTCGCTAACGACGTCATCAGCGAGAAATATTTCGTCGTTTTTTTTTTCCGGTAAAACCGAGCAAAAAATGACGATAGAATGTGCTAGTATTCTTAATTTATTGATCGATCCCATTTTTGGACTTTTCCACTCCAAGTTTTGTCTGAAAAATAAGACTTATTATTTATAAAGGGATTTCTCACGTGAACAATTCAAGGATACTTTATGAAACAAGGGTATATAGTAATTGCAGAGCCACCCCATTCTTCGATGATCAGTTTTATTAAGGGAACACATAACGAGGCGTACGACGATTAGAGAAAAAAATTCCATGATATGTACGTGCACGCAACATGAAACCCCGAAAAAGCTTTAACAATCGTAATTAGGGTCTCCAGATCACGCACACAAAACATTATTACGAAAACATTATCGAGAGAATAATGACGATATAAAGCCATGTAATAACATGATACATGATATTTGCAAAGTAGCATTAAAAATTACTCGATACAGAAAATGAGAATTTTTAATATGTATATTGGAGATGTATTATTCAACATCTATCTCATCTTACCGACATGAATTTGAATATGTCTATGCGTCACGTTTTATACGTGCTACCTTCTCGAGATCATTCAGAAAGCCCTTTGTTTGAACGTAAGTCGACTTTTTGTTGCTACCGGTTGCTTTCCGGAACGATCGGCATAAAAAAAGAGGAAAAATGACGTGGGGACAAACGATGAGACCTCTCTTCTTTCCAACTTCGTATCTAGACCGAGAAAATTCGCCGTTTCGTTTTCACACAAACTGGAACAAGGTCCACGACGATTTTTACCTAGCAACATTTTCCAACATGATTTTATTCTCGATTGTAATAAGACAAAGACTCGAAGACAAAGCCGAGAATCGAGTACGCGTTATTGACCACTTTCCTTAGGGAACGTTCGCTCCACGGGTCTAGAATTTCACTATCATCGTTTCGCAATGAGAAAGAAGCATAGAATCGTCTCACGTAAGCGATTTTATAAAAATTTATTAAAGAGATTTGGCACCTACGCACGAAATCATTTAATTGTTAAGTTTTTTACACATAAAGTTACTTAATATTGTTAAGTCTCTCTACCACATGCTTACGCTTCGATCTATATCAAACGTATTGTTGTCGTTTTAAGCTTTACGTGATACAAATATAATTCAAGTGTTATCATGGTTGAGATATTTACAATTTACAGAACATAGATGCACTTAACATGGACATAGGTCAAAGTTTAGAGCGTGAATTAATGTAAACTAATAACAATCCACGAGATAGAATGAAAATAAATTTTTGTCACGCGACAGACTATTAAACGCGAGTTTACGTAATACACGATACTTTTAGAATATTTCTGCAAGAGTTTTCGCATCCACGTGCGCTGCTTTCACGTTTATGTAATAGTCATCCGCAAGATCTCGCTCAGGGATGATTAAGTACTCTCATTCACGAGATTTGCTTATAAACGTTCTTGGAGCTTTTCTTGATATCTCTACAAAAATGTTTAAAGGAGAATAAAATTAAAGCATGTTACTTCTGACACTGGATTTCGAAAGATCTTCTGCAACAAAAAAGTAATAATAGAAGGAAATGTAGTAGAAAAGTGATGCTTTAATCGCACTTGAAAGAACGTTCGCTCGATTAACTCTCCGTTCCTTTGATAATTATAACTTCCATAAAAATATCTTAAAAGAAGGATCGTAGGCGTACAATCTCTCTCTCTATGTTGACATGAAGTGTCAAGCTCGTGGTGGCCATTTCGTTCTACATATCCAACAATGTAGAGCCAGCGTCATCGTCATCGTCATCGATGGCGACGTAGTCGGTAATTACCGGACGCGTTAATTAGACGAGTTTTCAACTAATATGCGTGGGCAAGGCAGCATAAATAGCCCATGGCGATCCTTGAAGCGTAACTCTCAAGGATATCTTTGTTGAGTGGACACCGTGATGAGCCGAGAATTTCCGGAGATGCGATGGAATTATTTCTTGTAGCTTTAAGTACATTTAAGTATATACATTTCTTGTGAATAATTTTGAAACAGATTAAATTTTGCAAATTACATTTCAGCGGGTCAGCCTACGAGGGACAATGGCAGAACGGCAAGAGGCACGGTTTGGGTATGGAGACTCGTGGCCGATGGCTCTATCGGGGAGAATGGACTCAGGGATTCAAGGGTCGTTATGGGGTTCGACAATCTACTACCTCCACAGCGAGATACGAAGGCACGTGGTCCAGCGGTCTGCAAGATGGTTACGGTTCCGAGACTTACGCCGATAGCGGTGAGTATCAAATCTACCTTTAACACATTCGCTATCGACTGACTTTTTCCCTCTATCAACATGAACAAGGTATCCCTGACATTAATAAACTGTGCCGGTAAATTATTATCGTACGTGAAAAGTAGAGAGTATTTTATAACTGGAAGGGAAGCGTTTCAAAACTTACAATTATACGATTACCTTTTTAATTTCTAAAGTGAGCAGAGTACGCTCGCAAATTTGAAATATCTAATTCCCAGGATCGTGCGGAGCTGATAAAACAGCCGTCACGATACGGTTGTATCGATTCGTAATAACAGTTAGCATGTACGTGAATACCAATATATATTTATATTCGGTTGTGCGGTCACACAAAGTTCGGCTTTATTGATTTCGCATTAAATGTGATCGCCATTAATAATGGGCAATTTCGAATGAAATATTTTGCCGGATGTTAAAAGCGCGTCGGAAATCC